GAATGCTGGCACGGGAAATCCTTGAACGGGACACAGCAGGGTGGTAATGGTACCGAGCATCGCACGGGGATTCGTGGATTTCACGTCCATGGCGGTTAGTTTAGGTTTCGAGCTCGACACCGGTTCTGCGTCACACACGGGAAACGAATTTATCTTCGTCAAGGGGATTGTTGAGGGATGCAAACGGTCCCTGTACACCTTCTTCGCGAACTTACTTGAAGACTGGGACAGGATACGCCTGAGCGGGACACTGTAACGGGAGACCCTCAGCTTCCGGAACTTCGAACGTCCGGCTCTTGTCGATCGTCGAGAACTTTGGCTTCGCGAAGCCGACGGGCTCTAGAAATGAAAGTGGGCCAGAAGGAACGATCGCCTAAACTCGAACGATAAGGTGGACGAAAAGAGCGGCCAAAGTAATCGCAAACGTCGCGTTCGCTTTCATTTCCGAGAAGACGAGCCCCGTATAGAGTCACGGATTCCTTTCTGCCGACGTGCCTAATATACTGGGACAGGGTGAAGCTCCGCGAAGGGGAGAACAACCGAGACTCGAGTATTTTTCTCCGCGACGCAGAGCACCCGAGACGATGGATATATCGACCTACCTAAACGTGGCGACTGGGAACGCCTGAGCGGGACAAAGCAACGAAAACCCTGTGCCTTTCGTTACGCGTAATCCGACGTCGTTCACGGATGGAAACTGTGGCTTGGTACTGGAGGCTGGTTCTAAAAACAGAACGCGAGATGGTCCGAAGGTCGTGAGTAAGGAGGAAGCTAGACAGAATCTTTGAATATGCTGGAATAGGGACTCCCCTTTATCGCAAATGAACGCTTCTTGGTATGGTTCTAGGGAGTAACATGTTCCACTGCCTACCTATAAAAAGGAACCGGAAATCCTTGAGCGGGGCATAGAAGGGTGACGCTCTTTAACGAGGACGCGCTGAACCTTAGAAGATCGCTGAGTCCAGACAATTGGGGTCGCGCGCTGGATGCTGGCTCTGACGGAAAAGTTACGTGATTCGCGTGAGATGTCGAAGGTTAGAGGTGTGTTACCTGTGGGATGGAACGGGAAACCCTTGGGCAGGGCACAGCAACGTCATCGCACCACCGAGCGTCACTTTGAACGTCTGCGAGTCGGCCAACGACGGGAATTTCGGCCGAGCGCTTGAGACGGGTTCTACGGGAGACAGCAAGAAAGAGGTAACGAGAATTCTTTGATACCAAGCGACGCATCGATACGCGCGTAAAGTTTGACCGTTCGACTCTGTTATCAGGAATCCCGTGTTCTCTGTACCTGAAAGCTGGAACGGGGAAAGCCTGTGCCGGACACATCAGCGTGAGCGGAAGATCGCAGCGAACCGTGTATGTACGCGAGTTTTCCGTCATCGGGAATTTCGGTTTCGTGCTGGCCACTGGCTCTACGGAAGAGAGAAAACCGATGCAAACGCGATCATCGAATCTATTTGCTTCACCGAACGCCAGGACAGGGTGATCGAATCTGGTCCCGAGCAAATCAACGCCTGAAACTCCTCGTCCGTAACTGTTTCCAGTTATACGAGTACAAATAGAACTGCCGCGTGAATTCCCACCTATGCGAAGGAACCGGAAATCCTTGAGCAGGGCACAGCAAAGGCAGAGTTTCTCCTAGGCACGAGACGAATCCGCGAGAATTGTCCATCGTTGGAAACTTGGGCCGCACACTCCCCACAGGTTCTGCGACAAGTCCCAGGAGAAAGAAGCGCGTAAGAAACGGCAGTAACGCGTCAGCATTCCGTGTACGGAGGATTGGGGACAGGGAGCCCATTGGGGAGAACACGACGAATCGAAGGAATCGCGTTCTCGCGACGAAACGATCTTTTCTCGTGCTTATTATACCGAGGCTACGCGTGACGAACTTTTCGTTGAAATTCTCCACTGATCCACCGTCTCTGTCAGTGTTGGGAGCAGCAGTTATCCTACCAAGTCCTTTCATCTCGACGAAGCGAAGAGAAACAGACCGCAACGGCGTAGAAGCTGACGAGCTTCCAACTTTGGTTCCTTAACTGTAATCGCGGCTCGCGACTCGAAAGAGATCATCAACAGGCGCCCTACCTATAAGACGGAACCGGGAATCCTTGCGCAGGGCAGAAAAGCGGCAAACTTCCGGTCGTCCTCGTCGAGAGTCCAATCAAGTTGATCGTACCGGAGAGCTTGGGTCGCGCGCTCGACACGGGCTCTGCGAATCGTCGTCGAATGAAAAACTTTACCGCGTGACGATTCGGCAGCTTGCAGGCTTCGCCGAGCTTCGACTTACTTGTGCACGGGGACAGGGAACCCTTGAGCGGAACACGTTAACGTCACCGAGCCGTCTTTCATCGTGCGGAAACCACGGGTGTCGTCGATGGTCGGGAACTTTGGTCTCACGCTGCCCACCGGCTCTGAACGTTATCAAACAGCATTCACGCGACCGGAACAAGGCGCCCAATTGGACGAGGGATGGGGGACCCCTGAACGGACTCGAACGATCGCGAAATCAAAGTTAACCGTTACGGCACGTCGCTGACTTACATTTCCGATCGTCCTCTTAATTTGTCGCTCTCTGGCCCATTTTCCAAAGCATGAAAATCAAAATCTCGCTTAGCGATCTTTAATAAATTCTGACTCGAGATTGTACCTATGATATGGAACCGGAAATCCTTGCGCGGGACAGAGAAGGGGTAGCGTTCCATTCGCAACGACCGCCAAACCGTTTATGTTGCTCAAGGTGGGAAATTTCGGCCGAACGCTTCCCACGGGTTCTGCGACCAAACGTCCAAGAAAATTTTCGAAAAAACGAAACAAGACTCAGAGATCGTGTCGCGGTTAAACTTACTTGAACATCAAGACAGGGAACCCCTGAGCGGGGCAGCCGAGGGTGACCGAGCCATCCTGGACCGTTCGGAAACTTCTGGAGTCGTCGATGGTCGGGAATTTCGGCCTGACGCTGCCAACCGGCTCTGATTATGCAATCAAACGGGAAGATCGGTTTCCAGTCACCGCGACGCATACCAGCGATCTCTCGCGTTTTCTTTTCTATTCTTCAAACTGATTCTCTACCTGTTCGAGGGAACGGGGAACCCCTGTGCAGGACATAGCAAAGCCTGAGATCCGTCGACCGGCGTCCTAAATCCACGTATGTCGTCCGTCGAAGGAATCTTTGGACGGACGCTGCCCACGGGTTCTGAAGGATACACAAGCAAGGATTCGCGTGATATTCTGACCGCGCGAGGAACCGGGAACCCCTGAGGGAAACGAAACCGTTTCAGCTGCCACCTCTTTCAAAGTACTTGGAATAATTCCTGACGAAAATTCGAGGATCGCGTTATGGTACCGCGAGGAAATATCTTAAAACCCTTCCACCTTCCCCTGAACTGCTCTTGGTTGCCTACTCGGGCTGGGTTCCATTTCGTTCGATCGTGCGAAAGCTCATTCCGCGCATCGTGATCAGAGATATCGTACCTATTGACCGGTACCGGGTATCCTTGTGCAGGGCACAGAAGCGGTATACTGCCTTTCGATTCCGTCGAAAGTCCGTTTATGTTGTCCATGGAAGGAAACTTTGGCCGTACGCTTCCCACGGGTTCTGTTTCACAACGAAAAGACTGTTTGTCACTGTAGAGTCATCTGCGGCGCGTGGGCACCCTGCTCGGACCCCTCGTCGACGCTGTGATTCTCGTTACTGTATCTCTGGCCATCGTTATCCCATTCGCGCGATTCTATCGCGCGTCTTGCGAACGCGACTCGAGTCGATAGAATCGCCTTCGTTTCGATAGGACTGCTTGGTCTGCCGATCGCTATCGTACCCATCGTTGACCGATAGCTCGGACGGTAGAATAGTTCTGTACCCAACGAAGCTGTACGTCTCTCAGATTTGTCGCGATAGAGTAGTTCATAGAAGGCTGCCGAGATCTCGCGAAATGAGATATCGTTCGTCGAGAACGAACGATGGCGACGTTAAAGGCTGACAGCTGCATTGAGCATCACATCTATTCCACGCGCGCGGGTGTCTGAATCTGCGACGTTCGTGTGTGAAATATTACATGTGACGTTGAACTTACCACGCGAGAGCGAAGGACAGAGCCCGGAGATCGCGTGAGGGCGCCGCAAAGCGTCGGAAGAATGTTCATGTTTTTCTTTTTCATGTTTTGAAATTCTTTTTTTGCATCTTTTTGTTACATCTTTTTGATTCATCCGAAACCGATCATGCCAAGAGTCGAATTATCGGCGGGCGGTGGCGCGTGCCCGCAGGGGTACCCTGTCCCAGCATTCAGGTTTGCCAACGAGCTCGATCCTTTCGAACAAATTAACCCGTAATATTTTTCTTCTATTTTTTTTCGTCTGCTTCCTTTGCCTTTCAGCCCGAGCGAACGAGTCTTCTAATTATTGACGCGATCAAGCTCGTTGGTCCAAGTGATTGCACGTATGTCGACGTGACTACGTGTCCGAAGACGATTGATTTTTCACGATACGTTAACGGTGACACTAACTTGACAGCCAAATCGATTGGATAACGAACGATCGAATTATTACGCTTTCCGTTTCGCAGAAAATCAATTGCCTCGGTTAACAGTTTCGAACCCAGACAGATCTTTACGATTTACGAGACGCTGTAGACGATCAAAGGGTAATCGGTTGAACGTACGATAGAAATTTAATATTTCGTGTACCTAGCGTAACAATTTCGTTTAAAAAGACATTCGCGAACGAAGACAACACGGACGACGGAATCAAAGCTTAATTTTATTGCAAAAAAAGTGACTTCTGTCTCGACCGCGCACGATCCACGACGTCCAGGTTCGGAACTCCGAACCACGATTCTGATTTCTATTTGTAAAAAGCAATCGCGTAGTAGACAAGTCCGCGGCGGACGTTCGCGTTCGTTGTTCATCGTTTCGAAAAGTATCCCCGCGACGAGCAGGCGAACGAAACGAATCAGAATCGTGATTTCGATCGCGATGATTTGTGATCGATCTCTTGTCACTTACCGGTAATGACGAGACGTCCCTTGGTAGCAGACAGTCTAGTTTCTCCGGTGAGCCTATGCTTGGTGCGGCATTGATAGGTTTTGTATCCATCCTCGGGTCCAACGTCGCGAATGTGCAGTTCTCCGGAAGGCAGCACCAAGTATTTCCCGTCTGTTCAAAGCGGCCACAAGCCACAAAGGAAAGCACACAGATTAGTTGGCGCCGTTCCTGATCTCCAACGTGTAACTTTCTACCGCGGGATAATTGACTTTATCAAACGGAACGTTCCAATCGTATCGGTATTGGAACAGCTTAATGGAAGAGGACGACATTTTACGCTTCGCGTCGATAGCCTCCGGCAATCAGAAATATTCAATTATCCCGACGACCGCACGATACTCGTCCTCCGCGTCGGCACGTAACCGTGTGTCGACGAGTACAATGCATGCCGTCTTGATTAATACATTGGCCCGCATGCAGCTCTATTACCTTCTACTACCTTGGCCAGGTTCGTTGAACGTTGAATAGCGACGGACTCTGTATCTATCTCGCGCTTTCATCGTTCGACGAATCGTTTGGCAATACAGACCCGTTCGTCGAGCAACAGCCAAGGGAACACCGGGCTTGTATTGTTCGTTGAATGCCCGTGAAATGTAAGAAGCGACGCACGGTATTCCCTTTAATCCCTTTAATCCTTTTAACCCTTTTCGCGACGTTTAGTTTATAGATACCTTTAGAGATCGGATTAGTTATGAAATTACTAGTGCTAGACGAACGAGTCCGACACATGCGGTTAGCAACGACTACAAGCAACAACCATTTACTTGTTAGCAACCACACGGGGAAAGAAAAGTTTGAAAGAGTTTGGTGGAACTGTCGAAGAGTTACGGAAAGGAGGGAAGTCTGGGACAGCGCGAGCAGCGGCAGTCAACGTCGTACGAACAGTTCAAGAATAGTTCGACATCTACTTTTTTTATTTTTCGAAACGAGGGGCATCCGGGCTTTCGAACGGATTTCATCGCGCGTTAGACACATTTCCGTCATCGGTCGATCATCGAGAACGCGATCGAGATACGAGCGGAGGCCGATGGAACGAACACTCTCTGGAAAGACGACGCTATCCACTTCGCGAACATAACTCCACCCTTTTCGTTCATCGGGCTTCGATATCCTGCTCCATATTTTCTTCCTAGCAATTTCCTGCATCCCATTCCCCATCCGTCTTTCTTCATTTCCATAGCCCGTTTTCACCGACCCCGCGATCGTCACGAGCAGGGCGCTCAAACATTCACCGTCTAAAATTACGTGGACTAATGTCCCAAAAAGCAAACGTTCGACTCTCTGTCGAATCTTCGACGAAATATTTATCCGTAAAAGGCGAGGCAAATCAAGGTTCCTTTTACACCTTGCGCTACGGCGATCGTACCTGTTGCGTGTTTTCATTCGTAGAGGATATCGCTAATCGCTGGACATCCCGTTAACGTTTCGGAGAATATCCTCGAAACGCTTTCCAATCGCCAGCCGATTGGCGAGACCGCGAGTTTCGTCGTTTACGGGGGAAAGCGTCGCGACACGCTGTCGCCGGCGCGCAAAGTGTAAAACAAAAAACAAGAGCGAAACGTTCTGAATTTTCCGAATGAAAACGTGCACGTGTGCGTGTACCGTAATCGGTGTTAGGATATATTTCAGTGGTCTCGTCTTCGATCCAAGAGTCAACCTCGACGAATTCGGCGACGAAGCTCGGTATGTGACACTTGATAATTGCGGCGTTCCCCCGGAGGACGTGTTCGTCCATCACGTTCACTGCATACCGCTGCCCGACAACTGCAACCAGACACCGGTTTCCGGTTTTACCATAAGCCGCACAACTACACACAGCCTCGTATCCGTGCCGCGATCGTTTATTGCCAACGAGCTCGCATTCGAAAATTCGTGCCGATCCTACGAGCTATATTTTCTTTTCGTCTTGCGTTTACTACGAATGCACGAAATGTTGGAATCTAAAATGTGCACGAACAAGTCCTTCTATCGTGATCGTAAACTCACGGATCCTGGTGCGCACGAATTCAAGAATGAACGCCCTCGCGACGGCAAAACGAACGCACAGGCTCTCTGTTTCGCGGCGCAAAAGTAGAAACGATTCGCGCAACTCAATCTCTACCCGTGCTCCATGCTGATCGATGTACCGTATGATTGTCCATCGGCCAAGTAACTACCACCATTCGAATCGATCCATCCCACAACGTCCACGTGGTCGGCGACGAACGAGGGTACTTGACACTTGAAAATCGCCGCGTTGCCGCGAATCGCGAATTGATCGTAAACCTGAACTTCAAAGTATTGGGCGACCACTGCAATAAAAGCGAACAGAGAAAGGATAAAAAAAAAAAGGATATACAAGGACAGCTTGTCGACGGATTTGCAGCGCGGGCCTTTGATACGGCCGATTAAAATTTCAATGAACCGTGCGCGTCTGCGAACGGGAGTACAGCGCCAGCGACGCTCTCTTTGCGCCGATGGAAATTAGGCTAGCCAGCGGACATCAATTTCCTCGTCGGTTTGATTAGTCCGGTTTAATCTAATCCGAAATCACGAACGAGGCCAACCATCAGCCCCAATTCTCCCGCCCCGTTCGACTTTTCTTCGCTGCTCGACGATTGAACGACAAATATGCGACGGAAAATATTTCCACCTCCGGCTTCGTGGTCTCTAATCGCGAACGAAACGGCACCGTGCTGCGACGGAATGTGAAATCGGTTCGTTTACGACGACCACGGAAACTGTCCAATTAATTCAATTCGATCGGACACTTGGATTTCCCCGCAACCTGTCCGCGAATTATATTCCAGAACGCCTACCGCGCGATGCCTTCGAACGGTGGTCAACCGAACGAAACTGGATCGTCCTGTTCGCGGAGAACGTTAATTCGTTCGCGTACCCGATTAATTCCCGACTTAACCTGATCCGTGGATCGCGGCGAGGAACGAGGCCACTGCCAGCCGCACGCTCTGCCTCCGTTCTTGTTTACATCAACGGACGGAAAGGGCGAAAACTTCACGTAAATGAACCAAATTTCGCCTCCCACTCTATCAGGCTACTTCTCCTTCCCCGTGTTTGCGCATCCTGTGCACCCCGAGGACCGACGCCGACGACGCGATCGTCGCGTCGCTTCGTCGCGCACGTCAAAGCGCGCGCAGCGAGCCGGCTGCTAGCGCGAGGGATGAGCACGCTGGCGAATTCAATTTATTAATTCCATTAAAAACGACGACAGAACTCGTTTGGCGGAGTTTAACGCGGGCAGCAAATCGAGTTCGCCGCGTTATGGGAACTGTTCTCGGTGAAGCCGCGGGACAGAATTCGAATCGAATGACGAGGCAATCAACGCGAGCATTCGTCGATTTACCTCGGAAACGTACAGGTAACGGTCTGATTTGATTTTCGAGCAAAATCTTTATTACTTTCGCCAAAAGTGTTTCTGAAAGCTACTTCGAGGGCCCCTGACAAGTGACGAATCCGTCTACAGGCTCCGTTAACAATGAAAGGGTCACAGTCGTGCTCATCGCGATCTCGCTAAATATCCTTCACCCTCACCCCCCCCCCCGCCCCCGGCGCTTTAATCGAGACGAGAGGAGTACCCTTTTCTTCTTGGCTGTTCGCGGAGTACATGGACCCGTCCTCGACAGCCAACCACTCGATCACGTCTACGAAATCCGCCACAAAGCTGGGTACGAGGCACTTCAAGGTTGCCGTGTTGCCGCGCAAGACGAACTCGTCGATGACCCTCGTCTCGTAAAACTGCTGGACCACTGCAACGCGCATTTTCCCAGAAGGCACCGGTGACACGAAACATTCGGGAAGAAAATGCGACAAGGGGTGTCGCGTGACGCGTCCAATTCCGTTCGATCCCCCGAGAGTTCGTTCGTCCGGGGGAAAGGAAATAGAGAAATGAAAGAGGGGGAGCAGAAAACGGAAGAACATTGTTTCGGAAGCTCGCAGAGCGAGAGATCACAGCCTCCGCCTACCGTAGTCGTTCCCGGTTGTGTAAACCGTTCCGTCGTCGGCTACCCATTGATCCACCTGAACGAACTCGGACACGAAACTCGGTATTTTGCATTTCATGATCGCGCTGTTCGCCCGTATCACGTACTCGTTCTCGGCCTCGGTCACGTAGAACTGCGAAACGACTGCCCGCGCGGGCACGCCAGGACACACATGTTAAACGATTAGGTGCACAGACTGTGTGGATCAACGCAGAAGCGCTACACAAACACGCACACACACAAACGTTCGGGATTAGTCGGATGGCGTTAATTCACAGAACTCGAGCGACACGCCTCAGGGTGCCACGACCGCTTGCTCCACCTTCCCGTACCGTGGCGCGAAGCGTGACGTTTGAAAGGAAATTTCTAAACGTTCGTTGCTTTTGCGATCGTTCCGTTTCGCATTAGCTCGAAACGCATCCCCCCGATGGAACGGTGTTCGCGAGAGGCTCGTTGGAACAGATTAATCGCAAAGCTCAGCAAAGTTCCCATAGACTTTGCGTGTCGCCGGCGGACAAGCGAATTTACCGTAAGGCGTGTCTAACCCCGATTAACTTGAACCCTTAGTACCCTGCCCGACAGCAGGATCCTCCGGAAGATAGACTTCTCCGTCCTCCCTTATCCACGCCTCGACCGTAACGAACTCGGCGATGTAACTCGGGATGCTGCATTTCAAGATCGCGCTGTTGCCCCTGATCACGTACTCCGTGAGAATCTCCGGTTGATACGGCTGCGTGACGACTGCACGGAAAACAGGTCGCTGGCTAATTGCTAGATCGAGTCGACCCGATCTCCTCGAGAACTCTATCGAACGCGGGTCTATTCGGTCGAAGCCGTAACGGGTCGTCGATACGTGTCGTTGGCTTTTGAGAAAATCGATTTGTATCGTATAAACCGTAGTAACGCTAATAGAAACATTCGAATCGAACCATTCCGAAAGCCTCTGAATCACGGTTTGCGATTCCGCGCGAACCACGAATAGTCAATTGGGGCGAACGGTCCGCGTTCGACTCCGTCGAGCAACAGTCGGCCAAGTACAGCGGACGCGTCGGCATCGGAATCTAATTCGTTTATTTTCTTAAGAGAGCCATATAATCCCGGCGTGAGAGCCACGGCGTTGATGGTTCGTTAACCCTCGCGTTGCCGCCGCCGTGCAACTGCCGCCAGACTGGACCGCGCCGGAAACGAATAGTTACCACGTGCCACTTTGAACTTTTACCAAGTTTGCCGGGGAACGGGGTTAACCGGCAGAAAAAAAACCTGAGGGGACAGGCCGAGGGATTCGGGATTCGGAGCTGAGGGAACATCGGGACCAATGGAAAAACGAGTCGAAAACGAAGTAGGACAGAAGAAAGGGCAGGGACGAAGAATGCCGTAGAAGTACCGTAGTCGTTGGATGGCTTGAAGGTCGAACCGTCGCTTCCCACCCAGGAGTCTACCGACACGAATTCCGCTACGAAGCTGGGTATGGTACACTTCAAGATGGCTGCATTTCCGCGAATCACGTATTCCGACACGACCTCCGCTTCGTAGTATTGAGTCACGACTAGAGGGAACACGTGTGCACAATGAACGTCGTGTAATTTGTCAACGCTGTCGCGACCTTCTTGGAAGCGATAGCATCAAAAAATTCCGGATGCGCGTGTCGCGTACATTGCGAAAATATTAAAAGCGAACGTTTGAATCACGTAAGGAAGGATTAACGACTGTTCGATTTAATAAATGACCAACTAAAACTCTGGTTGGTTGTCAATGGAGCATGTGTGTTTTAAGTGGAGGAGCAGCGCCGACGAAACTCTTTCGAAAGGGCGCGGCTTGCACCCGGAAGCCTCGAACGGAATCACCGAGAAGTGTTACGTAATTAGCGTCTGGTACGGTTCGATGAATCGGTCTGTCTATTTCGGATGCGAAAACATTTCCTTTGCGCGCAACCCTCCGCAGTCGAAACGAATCTCGCGAATCATATCATCATACGACGTTGACTAACGCATACGACGATTCGCTGCCTGCTCTCGTCGTCCTCTAAAACCACCCTCCGGCTCCCTACCGTTCTTCTCGTCTGGGTTAAAAGAGTTTCCCTGGTCGTCCTGCCAGCCGATCACTTGAACGAACTCCGCAACGAAGCTGGGTATGCTGCACTTCAGAATGGCCGCGTTGCCGCGTATTACGTACTCGTTGTTGACTTCCGATTGATAATACTGATGCACCACTACAATGGTACGTCACACGTTGATAATAGAATCTAAAACGCTCCAAGCGACGCGCGACGCATCGCGCGATCCCGAGTCGTGCACGATAATTTTATGGGACAAAAGGCGAGCCAGCCTTGCAATTTACTTTTAATCTTGAACGTGTAAATAACGTCGTTTCCATTTCAATTCTAGGACAACGTTTTACTCTCGTGGTCAATGATTTTCCAGATATATCGAAAATGAATTCGATGAAAATAACCGACATGCCATGTGATTCTACCGACGCGACATGTTTATAATTGGATCGACAAGTCATTCGCGTCCACGAGATGAAATTCCGTCGATGATCGATAAAATCGTCGATTCCATCGTTTCCTGAAACCCTGTGCCCGTTGTGACGCGATTTTTATGAACCACAGTTGAGACGCACGACGTTGACGACAGCTTCTTCGGTGACGTATCGTCGTCTCCCTCCGAGCAGATCGATTCGCGTGGTAGCATCTTACGCCGCAGTCGCGCGCTTAGACGAGCTTACATCCAGGTGGAGAACACGTCGACACGCCGAGAAACGATCGGTGCACTTTGACTTCTCCGTGTGCGTGTCCGTGTGCACGTACGTTTTCACGCATGTGCGAACACACTTAAACGAGAGACACACACACACACAAGGGAGAGCAAGAGAATGAGAGAGGAAGAGAGGAAGAGAACGTCTGACGTCGACGTCGACGTCGATGTCGACGATGTGCTCCAATTATTTGAGCACTACGCTCCCCGGTAAAAGCACCGTGCTGGGAACAACCTTAACGAGGCGAGCGACGATATTCTCGTCTGCTCGTATACACAGTGGGTCAAAAAGTATCGTCATACCCTCTATAACGAAGTTATTCGTATACGTGCTGGCAAATACTTGTTTTGAATTCGATTAAATAGAGAACATCATTTCAGCGTGTAAATTTATTTGAAAAAGAGAGGCTAGCCAACACTTTGTCGGGTCACTGTACGTACGCGCAACGATGATACGAGCAGAGAGTAACCGACCCGAGCTTTCGGTCCATTGTTCTACTTTATATGGATTCGCGGCTCGCATCGGCATGACAATTGCTTCGATGCGACCAGACTCGGACCGAGTTCTATTGGCGAGCGTCGTGCACGCGATCGAAAGCTACCCGTCTGCGAGCACGCGAGCGATCTGCTCGCGAGAAAGACGATGGATCGTTTAAGCCGAATGGTAATCGTACGATCGAATCGTTTCGGGAAGTACCGTAATCGTCTCCAGGTACGAATTCCTCTCCTTGATCGGTATGCCAGGACAGAACCTTGACGAAATCGGCGACGAACGACGGAACAACGCACTTCAAAATGGCACTGTTTCCACGTATCGCGTACTCCTTGTTCACGTCTGTGTCGTAGTATTGCGCCACCACTGCGATATATCGTCGTATGAAATGTGTGCTCGAGAACGGCATTTCGCGCGGAAACGGTGCCCACCAGTCTCTCGTTAAGCGTTTCGTTGGAAATATTTTCTACCGAAGCTTTTTTCGAGCAGCTACGCGCCGCGTTGCTTTAATTGCGCGCGGAAATTAGGTCAGCATTGTTGCTGGTTGCACCAATTAAAACTTTCGATCGCGAATGTCACCGTGTCGCTAATACCGTCGACGTAATCGACGAGCAAAATCGCTGAACGACGAGAACCTATCGGACACAATTATCCATTCGACGTTTCTTACATCTGGAACAATTAGCACAGACCGAAGAACGGAAAATATTTTCGCAAACAACGGCGGCGGCAGCGATTACGCGTTACTGAGTTTCGGTTCTAATTACGTCTCGAAATTCGAGGAGACTGTGATAATTGCTACCGATATACTCTGAACTCGGCGAGTTCACGTACCGATCCAAATCCTACAACTTGGCTCGTTGGTTCGATTTTCGAAACTGCTGGAAATAAGACTTGTTAAATTCACCGTGCCTGGCCTGTGGTTCAACGTCTTACCACTGACGCGCTTTAATTCTAATTTCAAACATTTTTATTTTCAATTATGGATCACGCGTGGATCGTCAATTGTCTTAATTCTGTTTAATTGTAAGTAATTATGTCTACTCGTTATAATTCGTTCAAATGATAATAGTCGACGTTGTTGTGGTTCGACAGTGGCAAGGCGTTCGATCTTCAGACATCGTGAAACTATAACGACGTGTCGTTCTCGCCTTATTATCTTATTCGGAAAGTGACAGCTGGCCAGGCAACGGTGAGAGCGTTCCGTGTATTTTGGAATTCAAGGTAAGAGGATAACACTTACCGGCTCTCACGTTAACGTCTCGGCTGTGAACCGAACCTGCCGGGGAACGCGCTAAACAGCTGTAAACCTGAGCATGAACCTCTTGACGATAATCCTCGGCGCGGAAAGGCGGGAAGACCAAGTTTCCGTTCGGCAAGACCTGCACGCACAAATTTTTTCGTCGCTTAAGAGCGTTCTAATTCGTGGTTAATCAAGCGACAATTAATTCGGCCTTCTTGGTCGAACGTGTGACGTAAGGTCGTTGCATCGGTAAACCGGCGTTTCGTGGGAGTCAAAACGTTCGATAGTGGGAAGCGCGTTAATAACGGTATTAATCGTTTAAAAGTCGATTGTTATCCGATCGCTATCGGAATGTAGGTATACGTCGGAGTCAATGTCGCAAGAGCCGATCGAAGCTCGATGCACGGAAGCGACGAGTAGGTGTGCTGTACCGAGATTGTTATATACGGGAGTCGTAACAAGAAACTTAGCGTATTTACACGACAGCAATAGCCTCAGCTGTAGTTCTAATTTACTCTGTAATCAATTCGGCACGTAGCAGTGGTTAACTGCAATTATAAAAGTTAAATGCTTTGCCGGGGCATGCATAAAGCTGATTACGTGGTCGTCACCGTGATGGATGTTTTCCGACAAGGAAAGAAACAGAATCTGGTTCAAAGCCAAACGTCTCGACCAAGATTCGACTCCCTAAATTCGGTGTTCCGAAACAACAGATGTCTTGGGTAGTTTGCCGAGACAAAAGTATACCTGTCGGAGTCCAGGAACGTCCCCTACGGCACTTCCGTCAGCGCGAACCCAGATGATATCCGGTTGGGGATTTCCTCTAGCCTGGCATTCGACGACAGCTCCGGTTCCGTTTGAAAAATCGACTCGGTTTGGCGGTTCCTTGACAAACACAGGTCCCATGGATTCATCCTCGGCGTAAGCCACTGCGGACAAGGAAAGAAACGTTACTACGGACGAAGTAATATTATGTTAATTATTAAATTTTTTAGCATCGAGTAGCGTCGATCGACTCGAAGCCACCGAACGGCGCAGACATCGGTGCGGTCGGCTACTCTCGCGTCAATCGCAGGCAGGCAAAGGTAGTCCGAGAGATTTAATTAGTCGAAACTGTCACCGTCGACGGTGACGGAACTTTTGTTGCGTGTCTTTCGGTTTCGCTTATCATTCGTCTCGACCAGGATACGCGACACCCACGTTCAATTGGCGCGTCGCCAATTGCAGCAAACAACAGGTTGTCGGTCTGCTATTGAATAATATGCTATCAACGTCACGTGACCATAAGGGAGACAGCAATGCGTGATTCCTTTTCCGTCGGGAACGTCCATACTCCTTGGCGAAATCATCGCCGCCGATGCGTCCGATCGTACAATCATCGGTCCCGAGGATCGTCGTCGTTGCGTGTCAACGAGCGCGGATTCTCTCGGGTAGACGGAAGTCCCTCGAGGAGCGATTTATTCTTAGATACAGTTTCAGTCCCGCGTTTACGCGTGTTTACGATTATACAAGAGCTCTCTGTGCCACTTTCTTCCCGCGTAACCGCCTACCGACTTAACCACGACGGGAACGGATAAACGCACCGCGCCATAAAATCGAGTCACGAGAAGAGAACCGGTTAGCGGACCGAACGGCGGCTAACGCGAGCGACAGGAGGCGCGCAGGTACGAGGAACAGGTGTTCGCAAGTTTCGTCTCATCGGAACTCACGTCGCGCGCGAGTTTCCCTCGATGATGGTCCCGATGTTAAATCGATTTATGCATATCAATTTATTCGCAACGTTTATAAAAGGATCGTTTATTATCCACCCTCGCACGCCGATACTTTCTCGTCTTTTCAATCTTAACTCGTTACACTCGCACGAGAGACGGGTAAACTTAATTACCGTTCCTCCGATCCGATCCATGCGCGTGATGAAATCGAGCGGGGAGTTAAAGGACGGTGTGTAACCGGATTCCAGGAATTCGGTTTCCATTGCAGCACCGTTCGTATCAGGAGCTCAACGAACACCTTGTTCGCGAACACCGGCGCTCTAGCATTCTAGCAAACGTTCGGGGGAAGAAGAGGAGGTTCATTGATCGGTGACCCGAGAATCATCCAGGGTGAGAGCATTTTTCGTAAAGTTTCATCGTTACGCGCTCACGATCAAAGACGAGATTCTTCGCGGTCGATAACCGGCCTGCGATCTATATATAGGAAAGCTTTGAAACGTCCGGACACGCTGCATCGAATATATTTCCAGCAAACATACGCGCACGTACGCGGCTATAATATACTGGTATCCTATATCCACGCTACGCGGGGTTACGCGTCTGACTCACGTTTACGCGCGTCGGGGCCGGAAAGATCGTGACGACCATAATAATTAGGACTTCTGAAAACGTCGAAGCCCGTGCTGGCGTCACGAAACCGACCGTGCTCGATATCGTACAGTGATTTCGACGACGTAAGAATGCGTTGACATGTATCGCCATGGAGAACGTATAGGATCGAATTATAGGTTTTCGTATTTCGAATCTACGGATAGATCTGCGGGAAACTAATCCAATCGAACTCTGTTACGATGTCGCAACATATTTAAGCACACGGGCTACGCAAGCGGCCGGTTGCAAAGGTCCGTAACTCGTACGGATGTGGGCGCCGTGTGTAAAAGTTAGGGTACATACGAGATACGGATGTGGGCGTCGAGGGATTAAAAAGGACGACGGCGACGAAAATATTCCCAACCGAAAGCACACGGAAACTGGACCCACGACTGGTATCGAAAATAAACGCGTTTTCGATCGATTTCCTCGATTTAAGCGCGGCTAATTTTAAAAACGTCCAAAGATTCTCTTCTATTGCAACGATCAAAATTTGCTGCGCTATGGAGTGCACGGTCCACTGGTTGTTCCGTCGCGCTTCTTTTTCTTGCGATTCCAAGCCACCCTACGCTTCGCTGAATCATCGACGCAAAATCAAAGGATTCACCTGGCGGCACAGTGCTCCGACAAAATACGATTCTCTTTCAAGCACGAGCGTCCGTTCGGGGAACAGCAGCTGTTCCTTTCCCTCGGTCTCTCCTGGCCCCTCCACCTTTCTTGGTCTTTTCTTCGACAGCTGCACTCCGTGCTCCGTTTCTACCTACGCCTCGTGGACCTTTCACGAAGCGATGGATTGGAAACGGAGTCGGGCTTCGAGATTGGATCGACAACGCGATAGCGATTTTCTATCGCGTTCCCTTGTTCGGTTCCTGCCCATCCGAAGGAAAAAATTCCTGGTCGAAACGGAGCAACGAGGGTGGCAGTTGCGCGAAGCACACACCGGCGATTAATTCGCTGTGTGTGGCTGTGACATCAATATTTCTAGAGATTTAATCATCGATGCTGGTTTTTTATGCGCGCTGCATTCGTTACGCTTCTTTTCTCGACGATTTCGAAACATCCTGTCGAGATGAGTGCGCAGTACCCGATGCTATTACGGTTACAATTTGCAATCGGAGCACGATTATGTGGTCTGTATTTAAACACTTCCCTAATATGTCTCTGCGATGAATTCGTAGTCTTGTTTACAAGATTTCCTTGTGCATATAATAATAACAATAATAATCCAATCGCCAGGATCTGGCTAAATGTTTCTACGTCGCGTCGTTTGTATATCTGCGGCGACGAAGCGGTTACAGAAATCATAGCAATTACGTGATTCGTTGAAACGGTCTATCGATCGAACGTGTCATCCGGAAGATTGTTAAACGAAAGAGGAGTTACCGCGAGGAGTCAGCTGCTGACCTCGCAGCTTGTAACACGTCATACGATCTCAATGCACAATCGACTCGATGGGCTAGGTATAACGCAACACGGACGGGGTCGTTCGAGCGAACAAAATGCGATTTTGTTTTTGAGTCGTTACTCACCGTTTGTCAATGCCAAGACAGCCAGTAGAAACATCGTTGCGACTTTCGTTGGTATCTGATACCCTCCTCCTGGAGGATCGCGCCACATCCTGATCCTGTCTTCCTTGATCGCACTGATTCTCACCTGATTTCACATAAAAACACAAAACTGAACGACGAGCTCGCACTGCGTTGCGCGCAGAGGGACACGCGACAGCCACGCCGATTCTTTCCGTCATACCTCGCGAAGAAACGAAACGCGCGACGCTTCCAAAATCGTTGGATTCTTAATACGAAGATTTCGAAACTGAGAAAGACAAATATTAAACTCGAAAGAATTAGCGCGAGTTTTATCGCTCGCGCCCAACGAATATATTCGAAACGAACGACCTTTGCGTGGTTCAAGGCCGACCGGTTGTTCATCCAGAGCGGCTGGCTCGTTGCGCGAAGACTACGCCGAATATTTCCAAAGCTCGAGGCGAAAATCGTCATGCATGACTACGCGACCGGTGCAAGCTGTTGACCGGAAACGGCATACGTCATCGGTCGTACTTGATAGTTCCCTCTGTTTCTACATTCTCATACGACCAATACCGCTACCGTCGCGAGCATCGAACATCGTCCATCTAATTTCTCTTTGCGTGACAAAAAGCGACAACGCAACGAAAACAAAACGGAACGAACTAAAAATCCTGCTGTGATTCAGAGAAGGGCGGAACGTTTCACCAAATGGATAAGATAAACAGCGTCGATAAAAATAATCAGCGAAAATGGAAGTATATTTCAGGTTGAGCGAATAAGCGTAATAAAATTATGCCCATCTCTGCTACGATTCAACGGAAATCTTTGGGACGCGTGGTCCGTGGGCGGAAAATAGAATCCTCGTGCGTTAGCGTGTCAAGCAGGCTAAAAAATGAAGACGAAGAAAACGGGAGATAAATGAAACGTTTTTCGAGATGAATCATCGCGCGTACTTTGTTCGCTCGTCTGCAACCTGAATCATAGGATGGTACTTGGGATAGATAAACAACCCCTTTAGCAAATCGCAGATTTCACGAAAATTGATTCGGAGTCGAATGTACGTAATAGAGAAGAAGTCGCGAAAACTGAAAGTGGCCAAACACCTCTGGCGTTCGGTCGATTCGCGATGATCTGCGGCTCGGAAACACGTTGCCGGTCGTTTTTCAAACGCACCGACGGAACACTGTGCACGTGCTGAATCGTTGATGGCACGGTAAGAGAAAGACAGCGAATGCGAAAGAGGAACGGACGCTGAAGTGGAGAAAGGAGAGGAGAGAAGCAGAAGCAAGGAGTAGCGCGGCTCGTCACGGAGCTGCTCCCTCTCGGTGGGTTTATTGATCGCAGGGTGCGGAGCAGACCAATCTACCCCTCGTGCAGCGTACGCCATGCTTGCTGGTATTTGCCCGAGCCAGTCCGCTCGTTCGCCGGCCAGCCCGATTCACCGCTCCTCGGTCAGGCCTTCGACTAAATCCGGAAAACCCGCCCCCGACCCCATAAAATGCCGCATGGCCTGGCTACTTTGACCAGAAATACCACGGATAGTCTCACCCGTATGTTTCTCGACCACGCAACGCGCAATTCCAGACGCAGATTTTACGACAGACGCGACGTCGTTCGATTAATTAACGCTGATGCCAGTACCACGATGGATCTGGGACATCCCGTGTTCGCTCATTCCCCCCGCGGAAGGTCACCACCCTTGCATGCAACGTGAACTCTGCATCGTTTATCTCCCAATGACTACCCGTCTTAACGGAAAGAACGAAGCTTTTCTTCGCGTCGAACCGAGAAGAAAGTATCCCCATTTGCTCGCAATTGAAGAGTCTGCACCCGGCTCTGCCCGATAAATCATCTCGGAGTTCTATTGAATAATTCAGCTCGGGAACAACGCGATGCATCGGTATTCACGGTTCTTTGTACTTCTCCTGATTGAAAAATCGACTTGTCAATCGAAAACGACTCGGAACGAATTTCGGAGCATTTGGAACCAACGATCCATGGTCAGCGGGCTTGTCGCTGCTCGGAAAAATTTAAGGAACGCCAGATCTCGGCGAGGCTTTCGATCGCGGGAAAACGATCGACGATCACCCGCGACGATCACACTCGGTATTCACAGGAGCACATGTAACGCACGTACACACCCACGAAAGATTTTTTTCTAAATCGCGTATTTTTTTCGGCGAGTTATCACGGCGCTCGATAAGCATTCGATTACTTTCCGAGCGTGACTCACGCGTGCTCGACGGCGACGTTTTAACCCGGTCTACGTACCGACGACACGTCGATTGTAATCGCAGAGAGACACGCTGATCGCACACCACTTGGTGAACAGAACGAACACTCTAGGTCCGCAGACGACCGAAGAGTGCAGCGAGGAGCGTCGTTTTGGAGCGGCTGCTCCACGGGATCTCGAGGTCGTCGGTGGGGGGTCGTCGTCGTGGTCGTGGTACGCTCTTGCGTCGCGACGTGGTGGGGCATCGGTTGGTCGACCTTTGTCGCACGCGACGGAAACGGTCGTAGTCTTATACTTTTGCACAATCTCAGACTTGGACGCATCTCTGTTTAGTTAACAAATGACAAACAAACAAATTTACCATTAATTTAACATAATATATTCTATACAGGGTGTCTCAAAAGTCGGGGAGGAGCCGGAAATGGGGGGTAGCTGAGACGATTCTGAACAACAATTTCCTTTGCAGAAATGTCGGATGGGGCTTCGTTAAGGAGATATTAAGAGAAAACCCCGACCAATCAGAGCGCGCGTAGACCGTTCGAGCGGCCGCGGTAGCGAAGGCAACGCGCTGGCGGCCGCGCTTGTACGCGAACAAGTGACTCGACGTGCATCGAAGGACATTGACGCTGCCGCTTAGCGCGTAGCCTTCGCTACCACGGCCGCTCCAACGGTCTACGCGCGCTCTGATTGGTCAGGGTTTTCGCTTAATATCTCCTTAACGAAGCTCCATCCGACATTTTTGCAAAGGAAATTGTTGTTCAGAATCGTCTCAGCTACCCCCCATTTCCGACTCCTCCCCGACTTTTGGGACACCCTGTATACTCTACAATACTCAGCTCTGCGTCATTTCCCGCAATTCCAATCAGATGTCGATCGTTTAACCGCGGTTGCTTTATCAATGTGCGAGTAGCGCGCTTAACTCGAAGAATACTTTGTAAGTATTTAAATTTTCGAGTAATTGGACATTCCTCTTGATAATTGACTTGGTATTGTTGAAACGTTAGTATTGTTCCGTTAATAAATCATTTCGTTGTCGGAGATATCCATTTTTTAAAGATGTTTCTCGGAAGGTATAATCAGAGTTCACGATATAATATTTCAACTGACGACGTGGGAAGTCGCTTGGTCGGATTCTAATTACTAATTAGCGATTGTTTGTGGGCGCGTCTCTAATTTCCCTTTTTGTTCGTCTACATTTTCTCGATCAATGTTTTTGTCGTTGTCTTTAGAATGCTAAAGAAAAAAGTTTTGCCATACTTTTATGTCAGGAAATTGCGTCTACTGCAAATACAACTATCGAGGTCAAGAACGGAAAAAAGTTTTATTTAAACTTGGTTCTTCAGCTTTCGCTGAAAAAATGTAGCACACTGAAGTATATATTTTAAGGTCGAAGATCGCAGTTCTTTTTCCTAATGACGTAGTCCATTGTTATGAACGACACGTCATCGAAACATCATTGCTTTATTGATAAGTTTATCAAGCCACGTAAATGGGTGCATCTAAAAAGGTCATCGCTCACTAAGCTGCTCAGTGAGCGGAGTTTTAATGATAGTGGCGCCATCGGTGAGAAATCGCCCAAATTTGTAGTAAAGTTAGTTCGTATTCTTGACGCTAGATGGCGACTGCATTGAAAGTAAAAATAACGCCATCTATCAGTGGAAATAGAAACTATTCGAGGACAAACTTGAGCGTTTTCCCGATAGAGGCGCTGATCAAACTCCGAAGTTAGTTCGGCCTCTCCAACACTAGATGGCGACGACAATGATGGTTTGTAGAGCCATCTTACAGAAGCAGTGGGAACTATTTTGACTACAAACTTGGGCGTTTTCCCACCGATGGCGCCACTGAAACCGTGGTAAGGTAGATCTCATTCTTGTCACAACGTGGTCGATCTAAAAGTGCTGTCAAGATGGTAGAAAAAGAACAAACGCGGAAAGATATAAAGGAATTGGGGAAGAATGACAAATACTCGATTTTGCTCCCGACGTACAACGAGGTCGAGAATTTACCTATAATTATTTGGCTTATCGTTAAGTACATGGACGCGAGGTAATTACAATGACAACATAACCTCGATTATGAACGAATCCGTAAATCCTGTACGGTGAAATTAAAGAATTAAAAATACGAAGTCTGTAAAATTGATCAGTCAAGCGACAATGTACAACATTCTAGCGAACTTGATTATGAGATAATCGTGATAGACGATGGTTCTCCAGATGGAACATTGGATATGGCTAAACAGCTGCAGAGTCTCTATGGACCGGACAAAATATTGTTGAGGCCAAGAGAAAAGAAACTTGGGTTGGGGACAGCATATATGCATGGGATCAAACATGCCACAGGAAATTTCATTGTTATTATGGATGCTGATCTGTCTCATCATGTATATAATTCACTTTAAAAATAATTGTCGGTTTATGTTGTTGAAACTTATGCTTCCTCATCCATTTCAGCCTAAATTCATACCCAAAATGATAGAACAGCAAAGGTACTTGGATTTAGACATTGTCAGTGGTACAAGATATGCCCAAGGTGGAGGAGTTTATGGTTGGGACTTCAAGAGGAAATTGGTTAGCAGAGGAGCAAATTTCTTGACACAAATTTTGTTAAGACCTGGGGCCTCAGATCTTACAGGAAGTTTCAGATTATATAAAAGAGATGTACTGGAGAAATTGATACAATCCTGTGTGTCAAAAGGATATGTTTTTCAGATGGAAATGATTGTTAGGGCAAGGCAATATAAATATACCATTGGAGAAGTACCAATCACCTTTGTGGATCGCGTTTATGGGGTATCAAAATTGGGAGGGTCTGAAATCTTTCAATTTGCAAAAGGTCTCCTGTATCTTTTTGCCACTACATAGACTTCCATGAAATTCCAAAATTTTTTACTTGTACTATATAAGACTACATGCAAATCAACATTTGTATAAATAAAAATTATACTTCGATAAACGTTTATTTTATTTTAAAACAAGTTGGAAATAATTTATCTATCTCGTTAACCCAAATGTCCGTTTTAAAAATGAAAAAGCACGTGCCGATACGCACGTGGTCGTGAATGACCGACACGATAACGATTCTCGCGAGCAATTCCACCCTCGCCGCACCCTCTGACGTCACGCAGCCTCCGTCTATTGATCCATTACGAAATTACAGTCTATATGTATTTCAACTTGAGCCAAGTATAAGACGGTGCCACAATGTGCCACGTACGAAGAAACAAAGCATTAGAAATCCTTAAACATCGCCGATCCTAACTTAATTTCTTCTTAATAACAAAATGGAAAATTAAATGTTCAAAGTTTATTTTCAGTCTACGATATATCGTTAATATAATTTTATAACTCGTCTTAAATTGTTAAGATAGAAATGTAGAAACTACGAAGAGAATAAACATTTCGTTGCCTTTTAACACTTTCTACCGAACGGTTGCTTTTCTCGTCTCTTATAAAAGGATTCGAAATCACGAGAGCGGCTCTTCCGACGAGTGAAAACGCTTCAAGAGCGGAGTTTCCGCTCGCGGAACGAGTGCGGTCCGCCAGTTCTGTCGCAAGCTTCGCCGCGGACAGACGTGCAAGTGGGGTTACCTACGCACCGGGGTGAAACTTGCAAGCTCCCCCTTATCGAGCTTTCAAATGGCTGTGCCTTTTAGATTTTGACATTTTCCTCGTTTCCCCTACTCTCCCGTCGCACTTTTTCCTTTTTACGTCCATCCGTTAGCTTCTACGGTTCGTCGTTTTCGTCGTCGGAAAACCACCATGCCAAGAAAAATTGGATTCCACGTCGTGTACGCCACCAGTAAGAACACATCGAATTGTGATTGTGATACAAATTCAACGACGTTAACCTTAAGTTGTGCGCGAATCTGTCTTAGACCTGAAAAACATCGTGGAAACGCCATGTGGTTTAAAAAAAAAAAAAAAGCAAAGAAAATATAATCGTTCGAGCATTTTCGGATTTCAGATCGTATAAAGCTGCGTGCTTGTGTTCACGCAGACATTAATTGTTCGTATCGAAAGTATTTTATGTTTCCGTTGACGATTCTGCAAAAAAATAGATTAACATCGACGACTCGACACGTGCGTTTCCTTTACGTTGCGAATCGCTCTCGGCGAATGATCAATGAAGTCGTAACCGACTCGTATTTCGTGCACTTAGTCGCACTGAATTGTTCATCTAGATATTTCCGATTGAAGTATACGCGACAATACGCCGTAACGCATATCTCGAATTGTTGTGGTCATCAAAGCGTACACCGAGCCGCAGTATCGCGTGACACCGTTTCGTGTCGAAGATGCAGCCTTGAAAATATAATTTCAGAGTTAAAACTTTATCGATTACACGGGAATCTCCATTTTTGTTCGGAAAAGAGAATGGATGCGGCGAGATAAAATAACGCAATGTAGCCAACGATTTAGGTAAAAGCGGCTAGAAAGTTCCTCGTGGAGGAACAACACAAAATAATCGAATTTTCGTTCGGCGAAATATCGCGTTAATCTATAATCGATCGCCTTTTGAATTTATTCGTTCGAACGGTTGTCTGAACTTGTAACGTTTCGATTGATCATAGGCGAAGAGGACAGGCACTCTTCGCTGGAACTGAACGTTCATGGCCCGACGGTAAGAGGGTGGCAAAGTTCAAGAAAATGTACGTATCCTCAGGAACTCATCCTGCGCCTCCACGGACCGACGAAACTTACGAGAATACAAGTCCTGGCTCATCAGTACCTTATACGTAAGTTGACTCTTTCGGAAAAGTAATCTTACGTCGAATAACATTTCGGCGAGTTCGAGATTACCGAGACGCGACTGAGAATACCTCTCAGATTTCTCTAAGAAGCAATTCAGTAATGAAAGAAAATTAAATTAACACGCCAACCACGTTTTCCTGGGGTTGCCTTCATTATACGCTTTCCATTTCACCCTCCTTTCTCATTCCACTCGGTGCTGAATGCCGAACAATCTCGCAGTGTCTACGAAATATTTGCTCTTAGTCGTAACAGAATGTATTTAGAATTTTTTTAACATTTATATTCTAATCCTTTCGCTACAGCTGAAAAGCTGGAAATATGGACGTCGAGAGAAGAGAATGCCTCGGTTACGACGGAGTTCAGTTATTTGGGTTACATTACATTGTCCGACAATGCTTCTACTATGTACAAAAGCAGAGAGCTTAAGAGTGTAGCACTTCCGGAGACAGAGGCTGTCTCCTTGAAACTGAGACTGCACAAACCGCATAGTAACGCGCACAACGTTTACCAGCAGGTACGTTATAAATTTCTGATTTTAATCCTAGACATATGTAGTTACTCTTTTTAAATACATTTGACAATCGCACGATACCGTAGGTCGGCCTTATCGCTATCAATATCCTCGGCGAACCGTTCGGACAAGAGCTGACGGGACAAGGAGACGCTCCGTACAATCCTCACTACACGTCCCCGTATGATGATCTAGCCTTCGAGATGTACGTCGATCGCGAGGTCGCTAAAATCATCAGACAAATGGAGGCGAAAAAGTTGCAGGCTGTAGAAGGTGAGCTCAAGAAAAATATCGTCCGAACGTGGAGAAAAGATTTCGTAGAAAATTGAACGCGAATGTATTTTTAGAGGAGAGATTCGAATACGCTTCGAAGTTAAAGATAGCCATGGAGAATCTGCGAAAAGCCGGGGAACGCCTTGGAAAGTACGAATTAGAGAAAAAGTATGCTATAGCGTTGGAAGACTACGATAAAGCCAAAGCGAAGAAGGCACAAGCGCAACAATACAGACAGCAAGTCTACCAAAGTCTGGAGGTGCAAGATCTACTCGAAATTCACGGGGTTAGAATCAAATTTATTCGCTATCCACAGATCTTCCTACTTCTATAGAAGAGCGGTATATTGAAATTATTTAGTCACGTATACTTTGCCCGCGCGTAAATAGCCACTGGAAAAAAACAACTTGTCGTCGGTGGAGGGAAAGGAACATATATCGGTAGACACCTGTACCTCGAACACGGCTACTGTTCCCGAAGATATCACGTCTCCTCCGAGGCTGGTGATCCCGCCTAATCGCGACGGAGCTATATCGCCAACCGGACCCGCGCATCAACCACCCGTTTCGCCACTGCATCAAAAACCAAACAGTCCCGGTACAGTTTAATTATTTATTAAGTCTCCTCGCTTGGGGAGTTTAAAAAAAAGAAAGAATTTCCTCTCCAACTCGCCGGTTAATCATCTAATCCTAATCTATTTAATTATATAGAAGTCACCGACAGTCCTACGAACGGAGTCGTGGAAAGGCAAAACAATTGCAACAAAGGATCGCTCAGACGGAAGACTAAGTCCGCAGGTCCTGCGCTTCGATCCAGTTACGAAGCTTACGAGGAGAGAACGATTCCTGCCTTAAGACAGTAAGATTTTTGCTTTTCGTAAGACGAATATTACTCGCTAGTAAAGTTCCTTTATCGATGATAATAATAATTTCAGTTCGCACACGAACGAATTCACGAGAGAATGCCACATGGAGAACACAGATACGAAGATGATCTCAAAGTTGAATGACAGGGAAAAGAAGCAAGCCGCGTTACCTATAGCTGTCTTCGGAATGGAAATGGTGATGCAAGTTTGAAAGCGATAGGTTCGACCGATCTCTAAACTACGATAACTGATATAATTGATCGTTCAGGTAGAAAAATTCTATTCGAAACAATTTACGGATAAGGAGGAAGGGCTGATGCAGCTGAAGGAGGAATTAAAAACGTTCGATTCGGAGGTTTCGAAACATTCGGCGAATAAAACAGCCAGAGCTGCAATTTTGCTACTACACAGAGCTCTCAGGGATAAAGTGTTCAGTGTGTATAGCCTGGCAGCACAATTGATCAGGATTTTCTTTTCGGAGTTTGCGTCAGACAGGTATAATCGTTTAGAGGTATCGCTGCCCGACGAATCGATCACAAATTGCCGTTTTTCTTTAGAGTATCGTCAACCGAAATCGCGAGAAGCGTGGAGCGTCTACTTCCAGAACTGTTGACAAAGTCGGGCGACACCACTCCGAGAATTCATAATATGGCTGTGCACACGATACTGAGTATGGCAGACTGCAAATGCGTCAGAGAATTGCATATAATACCGGTACATTTGACGAGACCCGTAAGCAGTAGCACGCATCAAAGACTGGCCCTCAGTAGGCTCGAAATGGTGGAGCAGTTGATTCTGAACCACGGAATTTCTACCGACAAACAAAGGTGACTCTAAAAAACGTAACTTTGATTGCACGATTTCGTGTTCGATGTGCGATCAATCTAGGACGATGAGACCTCTGTCTGCAACATTAAATGGGATCTTGCTCGTAAATGTTGCTGGCAGAGGTCGAACCCTGATATTAAGCCTGGATCGTTAAAACGCAATTACTCTGATAAGGCACTGTAATTGTTGCAGTGGACTCACTTGTCGAACGTTGTCAGAATTGGGTTCCTCGGGTTTGCATCATCCGGCGGAAGCAGTTAGGAAAGTATCGGAGAGGATTCTGGTGCTGGTGTACAAAGTGAATCCTAGATTAGTTCGAAAGCAATTGCCTCCGGATGACGATATTACCAGGCGGAACCTGTTGTATCGTCAACTATTTCACGAATTCGATCTCATCGATCTTCAGGTAGAGAGAGTTTGTAAATAGAGAAAAGCCGATCTTCGTAAACGTTTGTGACTGTGCGTTTCCTTATGTCGCTTAACAGAGAAAAAAGGAAGCGGACGCGTATCACAAAACGACGACACCGACGCGGACGAAATCGACGGAGAATAATGTAGCTAACTTAACAAAGTCTCCATCTAGAACGAGTCCTGTTGTTAGTACAGGAAGCTCAACGAGCGTCACGTCTCCGTCCGAGAATAGCACGGATCACAAAGGTGACAAGTGAGTGAGCTACAATTGCAGTAGAAAGATACATTGCACAATATTGTTTGTATATATGT